TTTAAATACCTCGTCAGACCCCTGAAGGCTTTGAAGAGTTCTTTTGATCTCGCCATAGTGATATATAATACACTTCACCAATAACCGTCCTGAGTATGACGATAAGCTACATCCGACAGCAAGGCCTCTGATCAAGAGATTTTGAGGAGCGTGAAACCACCTCTTAATTGCTGGTGTTTCCAGGTCCACCTTGACCCGGGGTGGTAACACCTGTTAGGGTCCCAGCTAAGGGCAAATAGTTCAACCCCAAACTGAACTCAGAACACTCTGAAAGTGTAAAAATAGGTTTTAATACCAGAAACACTTTTTGTAAAAAATATTACCAGCAATATATTATTACCAGTAATACATTTAAAAAAATTACCAGTTATACATTTTTGAAAAACACAAAATACCAGCAGTATTTTTTTTTTTAAAAAAATATTATCAGCTATATATTTTTTTTTTAAAGATATTACCAGCAATAGATTTTTGAAGAAAAAAAATATTGCCAACAATACATTTTTGGAAAAAATATTACCAAGTATTAAAAAAATTGTCGGCATTAAATGACCCATTGAAGTTGATATGCCGTAAAACAAAACAAACCAAAACAAACTTCATTAATAAAAAACGAACGAAAGTAAATGTTTGAGATTTAAATAAGACAGACTCCTACAAAATTCTCTCTAATGATGTCCTCATCATTTTGCGTCTGATTTGGTGTACATGATTCTAATTTAAACCATTTTAAGTTGGAGTCCCCTAACTTTTTTATCACAAAAAATAAAATCATTTCTATTAATGAAATCTTATAAATAATTTAATCTTTTTACTATTATTTCGTTACATTATAGTTATTTTCTAAGCGTAGCTTAGATGTAGCAAAAGTCCGAAAGTATGGAGCACCTAGTGAGGATCGAACTCACATTTCGGTCGTAATTGATCTACCGAGACAAGCTGTCTGACCATTACACCACGCCGAAGTACCCGATTTTGGGATATTATATACTGTCTTCACTTTCCACTCTCCACAGAATTCAAAAGGCTCTCCACGCCTTTGTGGGGGACGAAGTATTTTTCACCCTTTTTCTCAAAGACGTCGCAAGTCCCACGCTGTTCTATCGCTATATCCGTGGAGAATGAAGTACATTTCTCAGTTTCATCAATTCTAACCTTCACGGCTATGACCCTCCATGCCACACACACATTGCAGTAAACCACCCTCATCCCGTTCCTATTCCCTTGGTGAGATGTAATTTTCACTCAAGCAGCTTTGTCCCACAAACCACTGCCTTGTGGAACCGACTCCCGAGAAGTTGCTTCCTCGATCACTCCAATCTTAACCTGCTTACATCTAGGTTTAACCGTTATCTTCTACACATATCCACATAATCTGTGCCTCTCACTCAGTAACTCTCTACCTCGAGTGGCACTCGGGCCTTGTACAGGGTAGACATCGTTGTAAAAAAACATCTGTAAATGATATAAAAATGAAGATCAAATGTTTATATGTTTAAACCTATTCAAAAAGGCAAAAATGTTTCGATGGTGTATCCTTCCTTTTTCAGATTACTTATCTATGCAAACAGATCGTTAGAAAACATTTATCAGATCTCTGTATTAAAGATTTTACAAGTATACGAATGTATTGATTACGAGGTACGCTTGAATTCTTATTGAAATATTTCTGGCTCACATGAATGCCTTTGCATAAAAAACTGAAGCATACATCCAGGATTATAATGATTTCTTCAGCATATGCTAGTCTGAAACAAGGCCACGAAAATAGAGCACTCATGGTGATAGATCATAGGATGAGTAAGTTAGACCCAGAGATTAGCTTGTTAACAATCGCGCCGTGGTAAGAAACCAAATATTGACTAATTACAACTTGGTAAAACACAAGGACAACAAATTGAGGCACCTAGTGAGGTTCTAACATACAATAGTAACCTTAAAATCACGTCAAGGTGCCTTTATATATTTATGTGTATACGTGATTGAAAGAGTGTGCATATGTGGGGGTAGTGGTTACGTAGATGTGCATATAAAAATTGCTTTGGGACCATGTCTTCGTATCTGTGGAAAGTCCGACGCGCGTCGTGTGAATCGTTGTAAGCAAGGTTCAACACGGTTACTTTACGAAAGAGCGCTCTGACAATGTTTTGGCCAGCAAGCGAAATCAAGTTCAAACTCCGAAGGAAGAAAGAAAGAAATAGTGTATGGAAGCTTGGAGAAGTTGGGGGGGGGATCGAAATGCCCGGGGTTTTGGATCGAGATGCGCCCATGTGTCTACACGAGACGAAAGGCACTGCACAACGCACAAAATTAAACTGGGGGATCCTTGGAGTCTGACCGTAATTTGTTTGGGAGCTGGTTCGGATTCGTAAAATGGCGCGCTGTGTATACAAATGGCGGCGGTCTGGAATTATCAAGTGGAGACGGATAAGAAGAATGGTGGGTGTTTGGTAAATTTAGGACGAAGTGGGTGAAAAGGAACGCAAGCGGTTACTGTTTGCGAGCGGGCACTAGAGGGGAGACCGGTCAATAAAATTCAGCTACAGACAACCACATCAAAGTTTGTTTGACTAATAACCCGGCCAGCTATCGTCTCCGGCCTCTACTTTTCCGTTTCACCTTACTTCGAGCCGTGTTAGACGTGTTAGAGAAGGGTGGTCGACACTGTGGACAGGAACATGGTTGGCGGTGGGAGTAACAGGATAGAGATGTAAGAGGTGGATATTTGGTGGTTGGTTTTAAGGGTTGAGGGTCGTCGGGAAGAATAGCTAGAGATCCTGGGGGTGGTAATGAGCCGGGGAAGATGGTTGATGTTTAAGTCGAGTGCAAGATCTCGGTGAACACACCTTCTATCAAACACCAGGGTCACTGAAAGGCTTTACAATATCTTCGGACATGCAAGCCTGGGGGTTAAGACAAGCAGTCGGTCTCAGATATTGCTAAAGATTAAAACGAAAGAAAAAGTTATGTCAGCTTGAACAGTCTCACACACAAGCACTCTCTCTCTCTCTCTCTCTCTCTCTCTCTCTCTCTCTCTCTCTCTCAATATATATGTGTGTGTGTGTGAACGAGAGAAAGCATGCGTGTATTTATATACATTATATATATGATTGTATCTTGTGTTTGTGTGTGTGTTATATCACATGTATGCCTATGTATGTTCATATACATGTGTGTCTGTGAGACATACACACACGCAGTCACACATATATATATATATATATATATATATATATATATATATATATATATATATATATATATATATATGCAATGGAGACATATGTTTGTATGTATATTACATGTAAGCCTACGTGTGTAATAGATAGATAGATAGATAGATAGATAGATAGATGAGAATATTAATAGGTAAATGATTAAAAAATAAAAAGTAACTGATTTAAATATTCTTTTTCTATGTACTGTGTCCCTTCAACACGTTGGCGATCATGGCTCTCCACAATTTCCTGTCGTTCGTAATTCTTAGTAAATTTTATTTTTGTTATCTTTCCTAAGCCCTGTTCTCTCATCCATATTCGTTAAGTAGGTTACGAATCGTTTCCCTCTGTCCCTGTTGCCTTCAATTTGTCTTGTGAATGTCAAATTTTCCAAGCCCTCTTTCCTTGTGTGCCCTAGGAATCTCTACCGCTTGTTTTTGATGTTGAATATAAGTGTCCTTTTTGTTTCAGTTCTCTGTAAAACCTTGTTATTGCTCAGTCCATTCTCAGCATCCTTCTGTAGAAGTTTATTCATCATTTGTGCCCTTATGGTTAAGCATTTGCTGTTATAACGTAGCAATTAATAAATGCTTAATTCTGTTAAAGAAGTGCCAAATAGAAACTAAAACTAACATCTTGACAACAAAATTATGAGGATCTGCCGACTTATTATAAACAAACGTTATTTCACTTTTGGTAATAATTCTTATAGTAAAATATACGGGTTAGCAGTGGTATAGCCTCTAAGTGAAGTATTTGCATGTCTTTTCTTAGAAGTTTTAGAAACTAGGCTTTTCTAATATATTTACCTAAAAAAATCAACATATTTCGGTTACTTTATTACTATATTCGCCAGCCGCTCGCTGTTCTGTCGCTATTTCCATGGAAAGTGCTCAGACGAACTACACCAGTTCTTACCTACACGGCTAGGTCCCGCCATGCAACGCACATTGTAGCGAACCACGATCATTACCTTTGTATTCTACTGGTGAGATGTAAGTTCCACTCGAATAGCTTCTTCCCACGAACCGCTGCTTTGTGGAACCGACTCCCAAGAGGATGCTTTCCCGATCGCTACAATCTTAACCTGTTCAAGTCTTGGGTTTATCGTTATCATCCTTACATAAACAGTGCGTCCTACACTGTAACCCTCTACCTCGAGTAGCTCTCGGGCCTTGTACAGAGTGAACACCATTGTAAAAAAAGCAATAAACTGAGCATTTTTAATACCATTGTTACTCCACATTGACAAGTAAACATCGACCGAAAACACACGAATAAATATGACATCCTATTTCTACTCACATCATAACAACAGAAAAGAATTCGGAATAATTATAGGTTTCTTCTTATGAAACTCTTCGGTATTTACATGATCACAGAAGTTAAGCAACGTTGAGCCTGGTCCACTACCTAGATGGGTAACCGCTTCGGAATACCAGGTGCTGTGATTTGATGGATAACGGCTCAGAATTGGTAAGCCGAAGTTCCAATTCCATTCGAGTTCATTATATTCTTTGGAAAGGAATTAACCTCTTCTCCCTCCCCCCAGATATGGGTTAATTAGTAAAATTTATAAAAATAACTATCTCCCAAAATTTCTTACAATCTAAAAATATTTTCTGGTATTAAATAACCTGCAAAAGGTTGATAAACCGTAAAGAAACAAATCAATCAACCAATAAGTACTGAATTTTTGTTAGTCTTTTTAGTGATTGAGATAATTTTGTGTTTCGCACTGCTGCCCAAGGTGGGGAGGGTTCGATTCAAAGCATAGGTTTGAATTTTTAAAGTTGTTTTTTCTTTGGTCTTTTTCAATTAAGTTTCTCAGTTTTCTCCCTAGTTGCCCGATTGACGCAACATAATCTTCTCGCCCCTCTATTTCCTTCTGTTTCGTAGTGTTGTACTAAACTACGCACAGAAACTATTATTAATCATTTCGTAACCGATTAAAAGTACTTCTTTCAGTTTCTTCTCCCCCAAAAAATCCAAATCTTGTGTATTAATGAGAAAGAAGGTCACGGATCTAACAATAGTGACGAAACTGTCTTGCCAGATGCACTGGAAGCGGAAACGGTTTGATATTGTATAAGCGTAAGAATATCAATATAATTTGGTGTTGGCACTGGTTCGCCAGCCTAATTTTGGTAAAGGACAGAAAGAGAAACGGTGGAAATAGAATTGGTCAGTTGATAAGTCCTGGCTGGGCATCTCTTAAACTTCGTTGCCAAAATTGAGTTCACGATTTAAACACGGCGTCGCTTAAGTCATTTTAATGAGGAATACCTAATGTGAATTCTGCTTTCTAAAGATAACGATTCATCTAAGCCTATTTGATTTTAGAAGTATAGAAATAAACTCTTAAGTCGACCACATTCAAGTTTATTGTGTCATATAAACTCCATGACCTTGTTACTACGCTAGAGCTACATACGATTTTGATTTCAGGATTGTCTTTCTCCTAGAATGGTTGCCAACCACGGCTAACCACAAATCATTACGCCACAAGCGTCATTTTTTAATATCCTCATTTCTATATTAAGCATTCTCCCACCTTAATTTCGTTTTTTCAGAACATAAATAAAAAGAATAAATAATTCATTTTATGAACATAAGAATGAATATTGAATCAATTCTGCTGCTAAGAAGGTTGGTTCATAGTGTCGTTCCTGACAATGTTTCTTGTCAGAATGCATCTTGCACATTTATAAATTTACCATTAGTTCGTGCATTGAATATTGCTGCTATATCTGTTCAAAAATTGAAAGGGTCTATAATATTATCGGACCTGATCTGGCAACTCGACCGCTGGAATTTAAAGAGCATTACTATATTGCCTAATAGATCTCACCGTTTTACTGTTGAAATATCTAGATGTTACCGTAAGTTCTATTCTAATAGTTTCTTCTCTCGCACTTCTCACTTGTGGAATTCTCTTTCGATTGCTTGCTTCTCTGCCGCTTACAATCTTCAAAATTTAAATGAAGTGTGAATCGCCATCTTCTGTCTTCCTGAAATCTGTTCTTTTATTGCCCTTTCTCCTCACTAAAATTGTCTCATTTTCTTCCACTCTCAGCAACCCCGTTGCATCTTAGTGACATTATCTCCTAACTTGTGGTGAAATTATATATATATATATATATATATATATATATATATAATAATAATAATAATAATAATAGTATATATATATAATAGTATGAAATTATTAATATATATATATATATATATATATATATATATATATATATATATATATATATATATATATATATTGTCATTCGCAGACAGACTGTTTCTGCTGTATCACAGCTCATCAGTGTGACTGGACATGTGATTGCTTCAAGCCAGGATCGAAACCCAACTGATCCTATATATATATATATATATATATATATATATATATATATATATATATATATATATAAATCTATATATATATGAATGATGTGTGTCTTATATATATATATGTGTGTGTGTGTGTGTGTGTCTATATTTCTGAATGATGTAAATCGTATATATATATATATATATATATATATATATATATATATATATATATATATATATATATATATATATATTGATGGTCTTTAACCATTATTGCATACTGATATATATCATCAGGTATGACAGGAACAAAGAGAAATATAAACAAAATTGTCTTACAAGACCCAGTGAACTAACTTTCCTTGCAGCAGAACTAGCACTTGATTCAATATAATCACGCTAATACATATATAAATAAAGAGAAATGGGGAGACAGATAGACATAGGGAAAGATCCCTAAAACTAATGCAACAGTTTCAAATATATACACTGATATACAGTCCCCAAAAGTTTTGACATTGTTTTGTAGCATCTAATAACACAGCCAATTCTCGCTCAGATAATCTCAAATTTAAAAAAAAATGTTTAAATCTAAGTTTATTGTGCGGACTTAATGATAATCTACCAGTTAGATTTTATCTGGTATGATAATGACAATGTGTTACTGGAATGGCCACGACTTGATACCTTGTAATCTTTCTATAGGACTATGTGAAAGAAGTGGTCTATATCCTCACTCTTCTTACAAGCCTAGAAGAACGTAAGCAGAGAAATACCGAGGCGTTGGGGAATGCTATGCAACACATGCTACAGCGTGTTTGGTAGGAACTAGACTAGCGACTTGACATGTCTTGTGTCACAGGTGGTGCGAATTTTGATAAATGAATCTATTTTTAGTTCAACATGAAGCCTATTTAATTTTTTCTTCTATTTTTGCCTGAGACATATAGTTACTCAGATATTCACATTTTAAATTATGTCAATTTGGGAGGACTATATATTAACGTGTATACGTATTTATTTATATAAAATTTCCAGGAAAATGTAACAATGAAAATGTCGGTGTAAATTTTGCTTATAACCTACAGCTGTCAGACATCTCAAGTTTATTGTACGTGGTTTTTATATAAAGCAAATTTGGTCATCTCTTGTATCGTGAGTTAAGTGATAGGCAAGTACATCTGATTCTTTAGAAGTTCATGGTATATAAACATTTAGAAATTAATTTAAAATGTTACAGATTGTGTAAAAGTGACATTAAATCAAACTCAAGCTGATTGACACAAACCCATTACACTCGTAGAATGTCTGAAATAGCGGCCACCTACAAATTCTCACTAAATCATCAGCTCATTTAGCGACAATGTCGTCAGAACATAACTCGGTCGTTAAGTGAGAAGTTGGTGTATTACGTTACTCTACACATCATGAGTGATAAAATAAACCAAAGAGATACGCTATTCTTTTACTTCATATTTATAAAGGTATGTTGTAATGGCAAAAGTACGCAGGTGTAAGATTTAAGAAAGCTTTATTCAACTGATAATACAAGGTTCGCGTATAATATCCTTTTATAGTCCCAGTAAACAGAAATAACTCTCTCAAAGAGGAGAGTAACAAAACAAGGGGAGATCACTCTTGATTATTCATAACATGTTATTCTGGATTTTCTTTTTAAAATATGTTCTACTATTTTAGTATTTCGATTTATTAAACTCACCTGTGTCTGGCAAAATAATGCAATTCAGTATGGATCAAACAGGTAGATAGATAGATAGATAGATAGATAGATAGATAGATAGATCGATAGATAGATGACGAGAAAAGAGATAGATAGATAGATAGATAGATAGATAGATAGATAGATAGATAGATAGATAGATAGATATTTGGATTTGTATTAAATAAAAAATGTACTATTTTATTTCTGTTATGTATCGTTTCCGTTCAGAACGTAGGCAATCATGACTCTCCGCAAATTTCTATCTTCCCCCCCTCTAAGTTATGTTTCTCCGATACTAGCTCTCCCATTTCCTGTTATGCCATCCATCTATATTTTATATACAGAGATTATTATTATTATCATTATTATTGTTGTTGTTGTTGTTGTCGTTGTTGTTTTGATGTTGTTCTTTCTGTCATCATCATCATCGTCATCATTATCATCAATATCATCATCATAATTTTCTTTCCAATGTTTTTATTATTATTAGTATTGTTGTTTTTTTTTGTTTCTTTCCGTCATCATCATCATCACCACCATCATTTTCTCTTCAATGTTGTTAATATTATTATTATTCATTATTATTATTATTGTTTTTTTGATGTTGTTGTTTTTTTCCGTCATCATCATCATCATCATCATCATTTTCTCTTCATTGTTTTTATTATTAATAATATTCATTATTATTATCATTATTATTATTATTATCATCATCATCATTATTATTATTATTATTCCGTGCCGAACTGTTGTTTCAGTGGATTTCACATCGAGTCTCCGAAACGCTCTCCGATTTTACGCAGTCTACTAGTTGCATTGCATACCGAGATTTACATAGTTTCGGATTCTTGTTGTTTCAAAACGTTCCTTGAGGAATTTTGGGACCGTTCCCAGTGCCACATTTGTTTTGAGAATAGGAATCGCTCTCATATTCCTGAGTTCCTTAAGTTTTCAAGTTACCATCATCACCTTAGTTATTCATTGTTGTAATAATAATAATAATAATAATAATAATAATAATAATAATAATAATAATAATAATAATTCTGAAATTGGCATTAAATTCACTCAAGAAAAGTACGCCAACTCCTGCTTGGGGACAGGAGACATGAATAAAGACAGACGAAGATTTTGTTTCTGAAAATAATAAATCCAATAAAAGCTTATCACATAGTAAAGCGGCCATTATAATGTTGGCTACAGAAACTGAAACTGCCAGAAGGCTTACTTCCGATGCGTCTGTGTCACCTGACCGGCCCTACTTCCGTTAACCAGATGTGGTAGACCTTTCTTTAGTGACGGACGTTTTCGTCTAAGCCATTAAAATCGGACCCCTTCCTTTTCCTTTCTTTTTTTAAGCTTCCACCAGAACTCTTCTCCAATTCTGTTCCTGTCGCCATATATGTTGCCAAGAATGACCTGATAAGGAGATTTTATGCCACTTTTTGCGTGATAGCTGTTGAGTTTTATTTACAGTTTCTTATATGAGGATGAGAAGTTTGTCACTTTCAAAGCCCTGCCTCTTTAAATACAATGGAAATGATTTTTGGATGATAAAAGATAATTTTTCATCTATTTCATAAAGATATAAGTATCTAACTCTCTGTCCAGCGATTTTTCGTATAAGACCCAAAAATGTGTACATGAATAATATTTTTTATTACAACATTCATCAAGATCAAAAAGATTCAAAATATCTAAACAAAAACAGAGTTTAAACTCAACGTTCCCTTACATGCTTGTAAAATCTGAAATAGTTTGTTTTGGCTTGGTTTGTTTTGTTTCACGGCATATCAACCTCAATGGATTATTTAATGCCAAGACATTTTTGCTGGTAATATTTTTTTTTTCCAAAAAGGTATTGTTGGTAAATAAATGTATTGCTGTAATATTTTTTTCTTTCAAAAATGTATTGCTAGTAATAATATTTTTCAAAAAAGTATTACTGGTACTAAAACCTATTTTTACACTTTCATAGTGTTTCGACCCCAGTTTGGGGGGTCGACTATTTTCCCATAGCTGGGACCCTAACAGGTGTTACTACCCCGGGTCAAGGTGGACCTGAGAACACCAGCAATTAAGAGGAAGTTCCACGCTCCTCAAAACCTGATCCTGATGAACGATTGAGCGTACAACGGCTGAAACATCGTGAATATGACAATAAAGATGAGGACAAAGTAAATAGTAAATTTTTTTTTTTTTGTCTAATAGTTACAAGAAGACGTATACTTACAATCAGAACGAGACAGTTGATCTTCCTTGGACATATAATGAAAAAATAATACCTGGAGAATTTAACACTCACAGTATATACTGTAGACAAGACGAATAGGATAAAACAGCGAGTAATCTATGTTTGAATGAGATTAAAATATTGTGCGTGTGTGCATGTATGTGTGTATGTGCGTGTGTGTGTTTGTGCGTGTCCATTCTCACAGTTGTGCACAAGTACTCTGACCCTTAGCAGAAGTATTGATCCATACCTAAATAAACCCAAATACAAGATAAATACAAAACAAGGAACTATATATTAAATATTAATTTGTAGTTTCCTTCATTCAATTCAAAATAACAAAATGGAAATTGAGGTGATAAAAGAAACTATACAATAATAATGCAGCAATATTTACCTACCTTGCTATGTCAGGTGTGCATCATGCTCAAAAAGAATGCAATAAATTATTAAAAGATCAAAGAGATGGGGGCGTATTACAGGCTGCGGTATAGAAATCCAACGTTAAGAAATTGGGGTTGCTATTGTGCGCGCGTGCCTGTATTAGAGGTGTGTAATACTTTACGGCGCATACAGGTATTACTCTAATCCTTATACAGAAATATTGGATAAAAGATTCTTTGATCGTCAGCAATTCGCACCGAAGCAGAAGTGTCGATTATTGCGTGAATAATCACTGCCGAGTACGATGCTAGTGGATATAAATCTACATAAAACTCTCCCTTATCTACTAAATTTACATAGTACTTTTCTTTTTTCACTTTTACGTAAATGTCATCTTCTTCTTTGAGATATGTGATTGCTATGCAAACTTTTTTGCTTTTTCTTTGTTTCTTTCTTTCTTTCTTTCTTTCTTTGTCATAATTTCTATTTTATTTTTCGTCTTTGTATCTACCTTCCTTTCACTGAAGTTTTTTCTCTCCTATTGCAAGTTTCCGATTTACTCTTTCTTTCCCCATGTTCCTTTCTTTCTTTCTTTCTTTCATTCTTTCTTTCTTTCTTACTTTCTTTCATTCATTCATTCATTCTTTCTTTCTCCTACTCATTTTTCTTTCTTTCTCTCTAGACTTTGACAGTTTATTTCATACTGTCTCTATTTTTTCCTTTTCGCACTTCAGCTTCCTTTTGCTATCTTTAGTTTCTTTCTTTCTTTCTTTCTTTCTCTCTCTCTATCATTCTTTTTTCTTTTTTTCTTCCTTTCTTTCTTCTAATAATTTGTTCTTTCAACTCATTTTTAGCAAGTGTAACGCGTATTACGACAAAATATATTAAAATCAGCGTTAAAAAGGTGGACCAATGAGTGTATATATCTTTCTATACTGATCTCTGTCAAGGCTGATTGTGAAGGTAACAGCCTTCGGCGGCGGCGTTTGAGCAGGTAATTTAGTTATGCCAGAGCACTTTGCTTAGATTCTCACTCAACCACTTTTTTTGCCAATTATCGTGACATGCTAGGGATGAGATATTTCCATAGCAATATCAGACGATGAATGATGCAGTACAAACTTGATGCAACAGATGCAATCTTTTCCAGGAGCATTAGTGTGAAGTGACCGAACACGAGGTCTTAACCGAAATACGTCCTCTGCTCGACGATTTTATGTCGTCAATGGTAACCGTTACATCATTCAACCCATTCCTGAAAGAGAGAGAGAGGGTGGATAGAGAAGAGAGAGAGGAGTGTGAGATCGGAAAAAGGAAGAAGAGATAGAGAGAGGGGGAGAGAGGGAAGGGAGAGGGAGTTGGGGAGAAAGGAGTGAGAGAGATTGAGAGGTTAGCTGAGGTAATAAATAAAGTCTGTGGCGTTCAATTTCACCCCCATCAGCTATGGGTGAAATAGCAGGGTAGACTGGACTGTCTAGACTAGAATAGCAACCAGTCTAAAAGAAAGGAAAGTCGACTTCAAATTTCGAGCTAATACCCTTGTGAAAGTTCTGCTCTAATATCCTCGGGAAAGGCATGGACTTCCTTCAAATTATGGGTTAAATAACAGATTTGTCGAGGTTGTCTTTGAATTTCAAACAGTGGAGATGGCAGTGCAAAACCATTCTAATATATTCCCATAGAATACTCAAGAATTCACAGATGATAAAGAAAAGAGATCTGTGGAAAGCCATGATTGCCTCTGTAATAAAGGGACATGGCATTAAAAAATGAACTGCAATGTAATATCTATCGTCTTATTTGACAGTGAGTAATAGACAATTTTCTAACAGTGAAGAAGAGACTTGATGCAACAGAGATGTGGTTCGATCGATGGAAACTGAGAATATCATGGATTTAATATGTAAGCAACAGGAAAGTTTTAAGGGGCACTAGTAGAACAATTATACGTAAAATAAGAGATGAAGAAAATTAGTAAAGGAAAGCGAGAAGAAAGGATTAACTATCAACTGTAAGAAGACAATATATAGCCGTCAGCAAGAGTAACAACCCAAGATACGAGCTACGAATTCGACATTTCAAATCCAAACCATTAAGTTTAATTATCTGTGAAGTGTTTTAACAAAGGTTGGAAAATATGACACTGGAATCTGGAGGCGAGTTGGAATAGCAAAAGGTGTCTTTCAAAAGCTAAGCAAATTATTTTTTTAAATTAGGAAAATTTCGTTAGAATAGAGAAGCTGAAATGCTAATATTAATCCTCCTTTATGGCAGTGGATGCTCGACAATTTCCTCACCGATGAAGAAGAACCTCGAGGCAACAGATGCAGATGAATATTAAAAATACCATGGACGGAACATATGAGCAATGAGGAAGTTTCTGGATATTGGAAACAAAAAAGACACTTTTATTTAGAATCAGAAAGACGCGGTAAAAATGTATGGGACATATAATGAGGAAAGTGTGTGTGGAGAATTTGACACTCACAGGAAAAACTTAACGCAAGTGTAACGGAGGGAAACAGCGAGTAAACTACTTAATTGGCTTGTGTAAATGGATGTCATAACATGGACTTCAAGTCATAGTAAGGGGAGAGCTACAAAGGATAGACTTTGTGGAGAGCCATGATCACCCATAAGATCAGGAGTGAGGCAATTAGAGATATGATAGGAGCAATACCAATCATACTATACATCGAACAACAGAGGATCAAGTGATTCGGACACCTCACTCATATGCCTATCAACCAACCAGTACTACGAGAATACACCCTCAGGTACTCTTACTGGAGAGCGAGAGAAGACGCTGAAGCCATTCAGTGGCAGACACTCTCAGAGCCCACGAGATATCTCTCCTCCAGGTCACTCACCTTGACGCTGACAGACGACTGTGTCTCCCCGCAACGCCTAATCTAAATACTCTATTTCTGATCTGATCTGGGTTGTGTAAAGTTAGAGTATAGCAGAAAGAGTCAGATACTTACTGGAGCGGCCATTTTTTTTCGGCATCTTTAGCGATGGATCATATACATGAACTACTTGAGGTGAGGGTTGAGTTTGAGACCAAATAGGCGTTCATATTGAGAGAGCAACCATTCATTATGATAGGTGAAAGTTCAGTGTCTGCTCCGTGATGGTATAATGTTCTTGAATGGACACGACACATAACAAACTTAGTTGGTTGCTATTGTTTAGCGACATATCAACCTCTATGGATTATTTAATACGAAAAACTAAATATTTTGTACGCAATTTTTATATAATTTTTTGGAGATAATAATGGTT